AAACGGGGGAGACGGGAGGGGGGGAGACGCGAAAAGAGCAGGACCACCAGGCAAATAAAGCCCGAGAGACGCCCGAACGGCCGGTTTTCAAAAGGAAGATGAGCCAACGGAAGAGGAGAGGGGAACGTTAGAGACACGAACCACTTATTGTCCTAGAGGACAGTCGTCTTTCACTGGGCTTGGCCGGCGCGGTCTCGAATACGCGATTTCGTTGATCGAGAAATGCTTGTCGAGCAGTTGTTATTCGAGACTCTCTTGTTTACCACGAGGAAGATTCGAATTTTGTCAAGTTCTTATCGAGTTTATTTTATTGTAACCCGGTGGAGGATACTCAACGCGAGTTCTTTTGTTTCTACTGTACTAGGAAATGGTACTATCAACAATAACGTAAACTAATAATCTTCGAAAACGAATGAATTTCAATATTTCACGTATCGATGCGTTATACGAAGCTTAACCCTTTGCGGACGAATGTCGAAACTTCGACAGGATGAAGTTCCCGTGTTTCGAAGATTAAGTCGCAGACAAATGATTGAATTACTCGAACAGCGAGAGATCGGTACGCAGCTTCCTCTTTATTCTATTATTTAAGCAACCGATATATAATTTAGCTTCATCTGCTGGAGGTTATTTGTATTTCAAGGAACCTTCGTCCGCAAAGGGTTAATATTAACACTTGACAATTATGCCGCATCAAATCAAATAGCAACTGAAAGTCACCTCTCGAGTGCCGAGGGTTACAAAAGAAGAGCTCTACTTAGAATTCTCGATCCTCGACTCGAAACTGTTCACCGACCCCTACAAACTTCCATTCTCAACGCGCTGAAGGCAAAACCGTCGCTAATCATCCATCTCGAAGAGATTAAAAGGAAGAGGATCCAAGCTGATTCTTTGCGAAGCGTTGCGCCAGCTCCGAGCTCTCGCAACCTAAATCCTTTCTCGCCTCGGGCATCTCCCGTAGAGTCCTCTCGGGAATCTAACTTCACGGACCCTCGAACTTCTAGGATCGATCTTCGGCCAGCGACCACGGGATCCGTGGAAGGGCGTCAGGCGAAGGGTATAGATCGCCGGGAACGATACCGGATACGTAAATATGTACGGCCGCGGTATTGGTAGATCCACGCCACCGCCTACCAGAGAGATACGTCCGTTTCGTAGCAAAGGTCGAGGCGAGGGGAGATCGATTCGCGTGTCACTGATAGGAATCCGCTCGAGTAACGACGTATATATACGCCTGGCTCGGCCGCGCTTAGCTCCGGTGATCCGGCCGAGCGAAACGGCCGAAGAGGAACGAGACGAGTGACGGAAGCGGCGGACAGTTCGAGAGACAAACGATCCCGATATCCGGCGTACGCGAGCGCGCGCGAGCCAACGAATGAGAAAGTCATCCGTTGTAACACGATAATTATTATCGTCGGATGTTTACGGTGACCTTTGGTGTCCGACCGATGGAAGGGGCCGGAGAACTGGAAGCAATCGCGGGATCGTTATCGATGATAAAGCCGGCTGGCTCGCGCGCGATTGGCTCGAGATAAGATTCACGGTCTCTATGCAACTACTCGCTTGTTTTTTTCATCTTTCCTATTTCGAGCGGCTTCAGGTCAGAGGCGGGGAGAGGTTCGCTCGGAAGAGGGATTTCTCGATTTATTAATTTGATAAGAATTCTGGGGTTCGTTGAGTTGGTGTTTGTTCATATGGTCTGTTTGGATTTTGGGGAAGGAAACCGCGAATGTTTGGGAATGTAATTTGTTTGATTCCTCGGCGAGTACCGTCTAAATGATCATTTGTAATAATTTAGCGCTCCTTGTAGGCATTGAGAGACTGTTAAGAGATTCGATGGAGGTAGCATATTCGAATAGACAACATTGCAATGACACTGTAACCATTGGCACCTCTTTCGAAATGACTAAAACGATACAAGCACTGCTGTTGGAAACTAACTACTTCCTCCGCACAAGCTACATTAAAATCCACTCAAACTACCGTTGACTGCCACGAGAATTTCGAACGTTTTGTGTAACAATGCATATTCTTTCATAACAAAGGCTAATGGTATTAGAAATTAATGACCTGGCATCATCTAGTTGTTTGTGTTACTAAGCATTTTTACTCGACGTCAGTTTTCTTATTGTAATTGCATTTTAAATACAATTTTAACAACGTGTTATAGGCACTTCTATATTTTCGCAGAGAGTTAAATGAACGGATCATTCTTGACGATGCGCATTTCCATTTGTCAGAGGATTTCCTCCGAGACTTCAGCAAAGCAGCGAAAGGTCGTAGCTTCCCAGGTCGTTGTGAATTTCCAAAACGAGGGGGGAAATTACTCGTGGCTCGTCTAAGTAGCCGTGCATAGGGGAAAGATTGCGCGTCGAGTGGTGAACAGAACCCTTGACAATGACGGGATCAATTGCCTGTTCAAGGTTGCCGAAGGGTTACTCCCCCGATAGCAGGAGTCAGCTAGCCGAGCGTGGTCGCGTTTCTTGGCCCCTCGCGCGAATCCACGGGCGCCCGCCTCTCGGCCCATTAAACAGACAAGGAAGCCGCCGCCGCTGCGAGACGCCGGGAAAGTAGAGAGTCATTCACGGCCGAGAAAGTGGCCTTGAACGACCAGTTGAATTTCTTTCAGGCTATGGTCGACGCCGGGGCTGGCCCGAACACGAGACGAATCGAGCTCGTTTCTCGACGATCGGGTCGGATAGATCTCTCCCGCCATCGATCGCGGTGATTTCCAAGTGGAGAGGGTGGCACAGCGAGATCATGAATCCTCTCGCAGGAAACTGGAAAAGGAAATCCTGAAAAGATCTAGGCCTCCAACTGAAGAGACTCTTATGAGATCGCGAAGAAAAGGGCGGTGTTTGGAAATTTCAAACGTTGAACTTTGAAGATTTGAAATTCGGAAGATTGAATTTACAATGGCGTAATGTTCTTCGTTCTTGAATCGATAACTTCTTAGTATCTATAAAATAACTGTAGAATAATGTGATCAATGAAAACCAAAATACGGAGGTTCAGAACAGAGTGACGCCGAAGGAATTCTTTCGCATTTCCTTTAGCTTCTAAAGGAAAACGAACAAAAGATGGGAACGAAGAAAGAATATTTCAATGCTACAGATTACTACTATGTTTCCAAAGAAACCTCTACCTCTTAGAAGACCTTTAAACTAACTGCCAGAAAAATCACGAAAGTAACAAATACAGTTACAAAAGACAGAGGTTTTCTTCCAGCTTCTAGAAAACTCCTAATCGGTAACCCATCTAATCAAGTTGAACAGCAAAAGTGAAGGAGACTTGTGAAGAGGAAGATGAAACAATTATGAAGATGATTCCGAGCTTCTGGTGGGGATTCACTCGGATCGGTATCAACCGGAGAGATACCGCGATTCGCGACCAACATCACACGTATATACTCGTGCGACCGATATAACCTACAGAGCGGCGTAGCGGGGGAGACGAAAACCGCGCGAGGGGCTCCGCCCGCGAATCACCGCCACGACAGATATATCAGCGGAACGGTGGCGATCCGTTGCATCAGTTTGTCGCGGCACGGCATCGGCTAAAGTGGTCGACACGCAGGAAACACGCACAGAGCAATTTCTATAACCGATTCAACGAGCTACGTCCATCATGAGGCTGAACTCGATCGTACCAAACTTCACCGCGGACACCACTCAAGGTCCAATTGATTTCTACAAATGGCAGGGGAATTCGTAAGTCACCCGGTACTTCCGCTACTAGATTCTATATTCCGAGGGACTCGCGTAACGCTGAACGCTGGTAACAGCGTTAAATTCGTTTGAATGCCGTGTAACCGACATTTGTGCCGGGAGTTAATGTCACGTTGTTTGTTTGTTTCGAACGTTGGTTTGTAAAGATTTCGTGTGAAAATTGATTCTATGGACGAATAAGATAGGAAGAATTTAATTAGGTTATCGTCGAGAGCAAGATTCAATTGAAAGAGCTTGGCTTTGAAAGATGGAATGGCTTCGTTGCCGGTGAACATGAGTTTTAACGAACGAAAAGGGGATTGAAGAATTAGATGCTATGCGCGAGGTTGAGATTCTGATTAGGAGAGTGCTTTAAGATTTAGGACTAGTTACAAGATCATTTTTTTCTAGAAGAATCAACGCGGAACGGTATCTTCTCTACGATTAGTTTTTTTTCTCCTCGCAACCCCGATACGCGGATGATTAAAAATGTCTAAGTTGAGGGACACTGTGTCTAGACAGTGTCAATTTCCTGTAACACGACGGTTCCGGCTTTCACCGGTGGACCCAGTAAATTGCAGTTGCAAGCACACATCTCCTTTTGTAATTTCTAGCGTTTCCAATACAACGGCGAAACCGGTTTCCCCTAACGCGTACCGAGGCGCAGCAGCGTTCGCGATTCTGATTGCGCAATCGCGCGGCAGATTTTGAAACTGGAGAACCTACGGCGAATTATCGTCGCTATTACCTTCCCCTTTGTCTCCCGGCGCGTAACCGACAGCCCAGTCACGTGTTTACGCTCCGTTCGACTTAAACTTGAGCAAGTACAAGGACGCGCTAGAGCGACGATCGAAACAAACAAGCGAGCAAATCGCAGCGAGCTGTGAAAGTCGAGCGAAATTTCTCGATCAAGAAACGTTCGTTGTTAACGTTGACAACGAAAAGAATTGTCTAATACGGTAACACAATACTCATTAACCATTAACGCGCAAAGTCGCAATTAAACTTTTGTAACGAAGTTTGAAACGGATAACTTAATTATTCAAGCAACGAGAGTAACTTTTGATTATATTTATATTCACTTCATTGGATACGTAATTTAACTTCTTATCCGAAATATTTTCGACTCTTTAAAAGACCTTTCGAAAAATTGCTAACTCTTCTAGACACTTACCTTAATTACACGTAAATTCGATTATGTGATTATTACTACACAGATGTTCACATATTATAGAACATAGTGATCTATCATCCTTCTTCAGGGCACACAATTATTTTGATCGTGCACAGATATTTTATTATTACTTAGGTAATACAGAAGATAATTATGAATCATCCTCTCGCTAAATTGTTTATTCCAGATGGGTGGTTCTGTTCTCGCACCCCGCAGACTTCACCCCGGTCTGCACCACCGAGTTGGGTCGCTTGGCTGTCCACCAGCCAGAATTCGAGCGCAGGAACACCAAGCTGCTGGCTCACTCCGTCGACGAGCTGAAGGATCACGTCGACTGGGTTAACGTGAGTGTCTTTCAAAACGGTCGCGGAATGCCGATCGCCGACCGGCTGAGCAGCATTCAAATTCAATTCCGTTTCGCACGTGTACGCCGCGCAGGCAGGCTTTAATCATCTAACCTTCGCCATTGCCAACGACGTCATTACGTGCAACAATGAATGCACCGCTGATGTAACCGCCTGTTTGCAAGAATCTTCGTAAAGAGTTAATATTAGTTTATCTCAAATGGCAAATTAATAATACTTAGATAAGCGGCGTCGCGAACCGGTTTTCTTACGAATCTCGTTTTTTCTTCAGTCTAGCGTTAATCTCATAATACATAAGGAAATATTTTAAACGAATACATTAAAAGATGGTACAGAGTAATCGAGAGAAACGGAAAATGCTAAGTTTGTATAAGCGAAGCGAAATTTACCTTCGAAATTTGAGAAACAACGCGAGAGAAGATTCTTGGTTCGTTCCGTTTCTGAGAGTAACCGAGTATTTTTGATACATGAACTGGGTCGAAAATTTCCGATTGCACTTTGAACGCGACGAAGAAGATATAGAATCGTCAGATGAAGCAGCTTCTCTCGTAAAATTCCTCGTGTAGCGCGGGCCAACCGATTTTCACAGCCGCGTTCACGTGAATCAACCGACCGTACGATTCATCCTGTTTCCTATTTCCTGCGACAGGATATTAAATCTTATTGCAAAGACATTTGCGGCTCGTTCCCTTACCCAATCATCGCGGACCGCGATCGCAGTCTGGCGGTGAAGCTAGACATGATCGACGAAGAAGGCAAAGATGATCCAGAAAAGGCAATAACCGTGCGGGCGCTCTACATCATCAGCCCCGATCACCGTCTCCGTTTGTCGATGCACTACCCGACGTCCACTGGTCGCAACGTCGAGTAAGTTGCAATTGGTTCAACCCTAATAAGCTAATTACAGATCGAACAATCGCAACGTTATAACGATGGGAACATTTGAAAGATTCCAATTTAAGGGAGGAACTTTGTCACCAACTAAATAGTAGTATACTTGATTAGAACTGTCGAAGAGTTCGAAATGAGTCGACATCACTCTCTTCGCAATTATTCAAAAGATACAAATGCTTCGCTAAAATTCATTACGATGAAATTTAAAATATAATTTAATCGCGGTTTTAATAAAGTCTCTCGTGATTCGCGTGAGAAAATCACCGACGAGTTCGCCTAATTCGTAGTTCTGTTGCTGAATCGATGAATTGATCGAATTACTTTAACGTCAAACCGGCCCGAAACACGCAACAGTGTTGTATCCGAAGTAATTGCGAAACGGTTGTTTACTGATTATTTTTTTATCACTCCACAGCGAGATTCTGCGTGTCATCGACTCGCTGCAGCTCGTCGATAGGAAGCCAGAGATTGCCACTCCGGCCAACTGGGTGGTAAGCGGCGTTCAATCTTTCAGACTAATTAAAAAGATTATTTCGAACTAAATGTACCGATCGCTCGCGTTCCGTTGCAGCCGGGAGAGAAGGTGATGATCCTGCCAACCGTCAAAGATGAGGATCTCCCGAAATTGTTCCCCGGTGGAGTGGACAAGGTGTCGATGCCTTCTGGAAAGGTCTACGTCCGCACCACCACCAACTATTGAGCAACCCGAGCGATTCGTACCGAGTTAACGGTACAGGTTTCCCTTGAATAATCTCATAATCCGAATGATGTATCGTGTAAGTTCTGTTTAAATAACAAAATAAAATGTTCCGACGAGACACGCCACGTGAAATCACCGACCGAGGTGCTTTTAATGAGTTTCCGAACAAACATCGCGAACCGCCAAGAGATATAATTAGCCTCCCGACCGGCTATTGATAGAGGAGCCGCTACATAGATAACTTCTGTTTACGCGCCGTCGTAATCTAGCCTCCCCCAAGCTTCCGATAACAATTTTATCGGGCACGATGCTATCGTTGCGTAACAGTGTTCGATTTTTCGCCAGCTGCTGAATTATATTTACACTCAATTTCCTTTGAGAATTAACGAGAGGCAATTTCGAGGTAACTTAACCGACTTTTATCGCGAAAAGATGACTTCAATTCAACTTCCAAGAAGAACAAAGTCTTTTCCAAGAATATACTTAAACTACAAATTAAGCTATCATCATTTTTAAATTGATCCTTTAACGATAATGTATTTATCCTTCCTTATAGCCTTACTAGTATTATTAACAATAAATTTTCCTCATAGATTTTCTTACCGTGAACTTACTATTTCCAGGTTATCTAATCTTACCAACGTCGATATCTTCTATCCACGCAGTACAAATACAAATTAATCCATCCACGTCAAACTATCACCGTAAAAATCAATCTTAATCGACCGAAATGTACTTCGCGCGTCTCTACACTGCAGCGTAATGCTCATATTCCTTCGGCGATAATCTACCACCGCTTGATTGAATTAATCAGAAAAATTCGTTTTAACGACCATGATTCATCATGTTCCACGGTCGACCTAACGGAAGTCCAGTATCCCGCGCACGATTAAACAAATCCGTAGGGTCGCGCGGGCTCGTCGATGCGGGACCGTCCGTCAATATGGCGGCGAGTAACTGTCGTCTGTCTGTGGAAGGGGCACAGAACAGCATCGCTATCATTACTGATAATTGCAGCCAACCAACACTTCGTGTCATTTTGTGCTTCATAGAACAGGCGGGAGCGACGTAACAACAGGATGTCCGTGAAATAGAGGTGCCTGAGTACCTGAGATTTTGGGTTTTACAACGGGTTTTAAAAAAATCGGGTAGAGTCAAGCGGGCGCCGTGGCAGCATTTTTGAGTAATACGATTTTTTTAGGTGTAGATAGTTTATAGTATAGATAGTTCATAATTGTTAATATAATAATATCTATACTATACATACTATAGATATTATAAATACTGTAGATATTGTAGATACTATGGATATTATAGATACTATAGACATTACAGACACTATAGATACTATAGATAATATAAATACTATGGACACTATAAATAGTATAGATAGTATAGATAGTATAGATACTATAGATACTATAGATACTATAGATACTATAGATACTATACATACTGTAGATACTGTACATACTGTAGATACTATAGATACTGTAGATACTATAGACACTATAGACACTATAGACACTATAGATACTATAGATACTATAGATACTATAGATACTATAGATACTATAAATATTATAAACACTATAAGCACTATAGATATTATTAGCACTAGAATACTCGAAATTGTCAAGTTGCACGGGTACCCAAAACATACAGGCCCGAGCACACGGGATTCTTTTAAGCCTAACCCGATCTCTCGGGTACCCGCACATCCCTATTGTGAAAGAAGAACAAGAACTCGCTTGGAGAGGTCGACCGGTCGTTCGGCCCGCAGAAAATTCGACAAAAGCAGCTGGTGGCCGCGAGGATGATCCTGCGGGTCCTTTCCAGCCAGGACCGTCTCCAGCGGCAGTAAAGATACCGGCCGTTTTCGCGACAGGTTCTCTCAACCGTTCGGATATTTCGAAAAAGGAAGAAAAGAGAAAGAGAAAGGCTACTCTCGGCTATTTTAGACCGAGAAATTCTTTTTTCCGTTCCTTTTTTATTTTTCATTGGCTGGGAAGAACGTTAGAGAAGGAATTTATCGATGAACTCGTTGGGGAAGTTGAAGGACGAACCGCTCGACGACTGCGTCTCTTGAAATGTGGAAAGGTTTCAGATGGTCGATTGATAAAGATTTCGAATGTAAATATTCTTAACCCTCCGCGGCCCCTGAATCTTTCTCCATACGATTGTGTTTCGATTTTGTCAGCATCGTTCCACGGCATTTCTCAATTTATTCTGAACATGTTTCTTCGAGGAATTTCTTCGAATTTAAAGGAACTACACACAAGAACATCCTTATTAATCTTTTTATTATTTCAAATAATAGTTTAAACATGTTGGCCAATTGTTACCAATGAATAAGCTCCCATCCCAAGTTGACATCATCGTGACGATATCGTGGACCACGCCCAAGCCAGTTCACCTCACCGAATTCTATTCCGACCGCTGCACAATAAATTAATAATAAAAGAGGTAATATACAAAGAAATCCAACGCACTGTCCCAAAAGAAATATTCGAAATTGTCATTGGAACATCGACGAAGCCTGGAATCGATTTTACCGACGTAAACGAAAGGGGAAGAAGAAATCGTAATTTATACGTCGCCGACAACATGGACGATAAATCCACCGGCGCCTCGCGCGCTTCGAACGCGCAGCTCCGGGACCAAAGATACCCCGGCCCGCCTAGGGTGTCCATTATTCCCGGGTAATTACATACCTCTCCCACAGGAATTTTCGAAATGAGTTTCGGACGTGGAGCTACGCCGATAAGTCCCCCCTCCCCGTGGAAATTCGGCCAGTCCGAGTATTAGCGTCCATCTTACGACGCGATAAATTGTCTTTCTATTCGAGCCCCGGGGATTTTGGAATTTTATGTCCGATGGGCGACAGTTTGTGTACATTGTTCTTATTACGTTTTTATTATGAAACAATTGGACTTGAATACTGTAGATATATAATATAAATTTGGATGTTACAGGATGGGAGTGTGGTTATTGTAGGGGTTGATTTTCAATGGCCCGTAAGAAATGAGAAAATGAAAGTGGGCATGACGTCTTGTGTCTGAAAAACAGGTATCTTAATACTTCGAAATTCTATCGTTCAGTAGGTGTAGCTAAATATAATTTTCATCTTCGTAAGCAGTTTCTTTGAGAATCTACTTGCCTAAACGCCTGCAGCATCAAAAATTAACATAGAATTTTCCTATGAAACAAATACAGTTCCTTTATTCGACTTAATCCAACGTATTACTCGAAAAACTGTGAAACCAACATCATTTCCTAAGCCGATACAATACTCTATTCGACCATAACTGACCGCTGAACTGATTTCCTAATAACTTTCTTCGTCGCCTACGTAGATGCAATCTCGCTTAGGAGATTAAAATCAAGAACAACGATCTCCAAGTAAACCACCTCAGAAACATAACATGCTAATACGTCTCTCCCAATTAACAGATTAAATAAAGGCTCAGATGGAACTGTCCAGAAAGGAATAATTCAAGAAGGGGTCGCTTCGATTTCGTCGAATCGACGGTCGACCGATCGATGCAGCTTCATGGATCGCGTTCCATTGAACCGTGAAAGCCAGCTTCCGTGTTCCGGCTAACCGTTAACCACGAGGATCGCGCGCAACGTCGGAGAAGGACGAACGAGACGAAGAAAGAGTGAGAGAGAGAGAGAGAGAGAGGGTGGGAGAGAGAGGGAGGGGTGGGGGAGAGAGACGTTGCCCATTAAACATAGCCCCTCATGGTCGTTTGGTCCGGTCTAGTTTAAAGCCGTCGTCGAGGCTCACCGGTCTCGTGTGAGTCTGATTGCAGGTTGAACAGGTTGAACGGTTGGGTAATGGAGGCGCCCACATCGCTCTGTTAGCGGTACCCAGCTCCTGTTATCTACGCCGCTGTAAAGGCGACGCGACGAATCGGCCAACCTCGATTCCATCGGCGATCCTCTCCTCCCCGTGCGCGCTATTGTCTTCGTGGAAAACTGGCGATGCGCACGGCGGACGCTCGGAAGGTCTGTGGTCTACGTTTTGTTCGGAAAACGAAGCTCGCGTTGATTTTCCATGGGAAGTAGGAGGTACATTATTAACACACTGACGGTTACCGATGACCGCAGCTTTCAAATTACTTGAAAACAATTTGAATTTGTATGTTCGATATCGTAAATAAGTAGATAATAGTATAACGTAAGAACTGTGATGCGAAAGAACTAATAATTAATAATTCGTACTGCTCGTTTGTACTTCTGTCGCGAAACAATAAACGATACATGAAGTTTTTCAAGGCAGTCGGCGTGTGAAACGTTACAACGGAACGCTGGATCGTCGAGAAAGCGATTTTAAACCAATTTCAGAAATGTACGAGACGTTCGAAATTTGATGGAATTATTATGGATAAGGGATCGAGCAAGAATTTTAATGTTAAAGTTTGAAAACGATAAATTCACGTGAATAACTGGAAATCGTCTGTTAATCACGGGCGTCTATTCTAATATCCAAAGATACCAGGGATTACGATAAATATCGAATCGACAGGAGAGATAGGATGCTTCGTGTTCCGAAGGAACGCGCGTGAATTTCAATTGCTACAGGTAATACGAACCACACCTTCGAAAGAGCGCGCAGGTTCCCGAGGGGCACCACGTGCTCGATCCGCGGCTACACCGACGCATTTTCATGAGTTTCGCTCACGTGGCCGCGATGAAGATAGCCCGGAATAAGGGTCGAACGGAGCACCGTTGCGCCGTGTCGGCGCAGCCTTAGAAGGCCAAACGGAATACCGATCTGGGAATTAGATGCGAGTCGAGGAAGCGGGAGGGGAACAGAAGATCGGGGAAAAGCGACGGAAACAGAAAGAAGATGAGGGGGAAAGAGGCAGGAGGAAAACGAGATCGAAACAGACAGAAAATGAAAAGAAAAGGAAAATTTGGGACAGGGACTGAGGGACAGAAAGAAAATGAGAAACAATGAGACAAAAAGGGAAAAAATGAGGGAAAGGAAAGGAAAATGAGAAGGATCGTTAATTTCCTCAAGATACTGTCCAATGAATTCCCGGTCCTCTCTGGCTCTCGATTCGTCTAGGATTTTCGGGGCCAACATCGGTCCCGGCTGTCCCGTCCCGACCAGCGACGAGAGTAACTTCAAGAGTCAACTCGAATATCGCTGGAATGCCGGCGTAATCTCGGATTTTTGGGGGAAACGGTACCGTTACCGTCCGCGTGCCGCTGCTTAGAAGGTCAACCATGATTCCGGAATCAGATGCGATTCCGTAACCGCGCGGCAGCAGCCTCGCAGGTGCAAACAACGCGTCGAGATCGCCGGGATCATTAATTTCGCTCGCGGAAACACCGTGCACCGATGACAAGATAGCCGTGCTGCCGGTCGCGGCGAGCGGGGGTCGCGACCCACTTTTAGATTGAGGGATAACTCGATTACGAGCTCGTTACGCGGTAGACGTATCGGTGTTCGCCGAAGATCGCGAAATTCCCTCCGTATCACTTCGCTTTTCTGTTGCGTTCGATCCATGCGAGTCGACAGAATCGATTGA